GGGGCAGGGAGGAGCAATGGGGAGCATGGACCCCCCTGGCCCGGCCATGAGCACCATGCCAGGCTGCAGGAGCAAGCACCCGCTCTGCCTCAGACCATAGGCTATGACCCCATCATCACCCCCGAAGCCTCGGCCGCCTTCGGCGTGGAGCAGCTGCCGCTGGAGCAGATCTGGCCCCGCTGCGACTTCATCACGGTGCACACACCACTGCTGCCCTCCACCACGGGTATGGGGCAGGCACTAGTGCAAGGGGGATTGGGGGGAGCCAGGGCAGTCCCCCACCGCCCACAGTGCTCCCTCTCTCTGCAGGACTCCTGAACGACAGCACCTTCGCCAAGTGCCGCCGTGGCGTGCAGGTGGTGAACTGCGCCCGCGGCGGCATCGTGGATGAAGGTGCGCTGCTGCGGGCACTGCAGTCAGGGCAGTGTGGCGGGGCTGCCCTCGATGTCTTCACACAGGTGAGCGGGGCCACGGGGACCCCCTGAGCTTGGCTTTAGCTCAGCATCACCTTAACTTTGCTCAAGCCAGGCCAGAGCAGCCCGACAAACCCCACGGAGCCAGGGATAGCCCTCCCCAGCTCCCCTCCTTGCAAGAGAAGAGGGTGTAAATGTCCCCACACCTGGGCTCCCAGGAAGGTGCTGGGGGCTGACAGTGGGACGGGGCTGTGTCGGCAGGAGCCACCGAAGGACCGCGACCTGGTGAACCACCCCAATGTCATCTGCTGCCCGCATCTGGGTGCCAGCACGCAGGAAGCGCAGAGCCGCTGCGGCAAGGAGATCGCCATGCAGATCGTGGATATGGCCATGGGGAAGGGGCTGGCTGGAATAGTGAGTCCCCACACTGGGCACCTGACCTCCGTGCCTCAGTTTCCCTGTCTGTAAAACATGGGTGCATTGGGAGCAGCCCTGGTGCTCGCTGGTGGATTCCTGTCGCTCACCCCACTCTTCTTCACAGGTCAACGGGCAGGCTCTCAGCAAGGCTTTTGCACCCCAGACCAAGCCCTGGATCGCCCTGGCCAGGGCCCTGGGCACGGTGTTGCACACTGTGGGCAAGCAAGCACAGGGCAGCGTGCAGGTCTGCACCCTAGGTGAGCCGGCCAGGCTGCACCCCATGCCTGGGCGCAGGGACCCCGATGGGTGGGCAGCACAGCGGGGTGCACGGGGACCCACTGGGCTGGGCAGATGGGAGGAGGGATAGGAGGATGGGTGGGCAGGTGACCAGGAAAAGGGATGGACGAGGAGGGTGGTGGGATGGTGAGAGGATGGTGGGAGGATAGGGGTGGGGGGGGTACAGATGGGTGGGAAGATGGGAGTAGGGATGGGTGTATGAATGAGTGGGTGGAAGGACCAACCCCTGGCTGGCTGCTCCAGCGTGGGGTTGGCCTCTCTGCTGCCGGCCCATCCACCTCCTCCCTGCACCCCAGGGACGCCCTTGCAGGAGGCTGGGAGCTACCTGACGCCTGCCGTGGCTGCGGGCATGCTGGCTGGAGGGGCGCAGAAGGAGGTGACCCTGGTGAATGCCCTGCTGCTGGCCCAGGAGGCTGGGCTGAAGGTGCGTGGACACCTGGGGCTCCATACGTCAGCCTGGCGCACCCAGACCCTGTCCTTCCCTGCCAAGCAGCGTGAGCCTGGGTTTGCCCCGCGGGCACCTCTCAGTCTGGGGGGGGCATCCCCTGGGCTGGCCTCTGAGGACATCCCTCCCCCACGCCCTGCCACGAGCAGGACCTGGATGCTGAGAGGCCACGTCTCTCCGGCAGGTCACAACCACCCACGGTGACGTGATCCCCGAGTCTGACGGCAGCACCGGCTTGCTGCAGGTGACCCTGCAGGGCACCCCGCACCGGGCAGCGGGGACGGTGCGGGCAGCACCCCAGTGCTGCGGGAGATCAATGGGGCCACCTTCAAGCAGCCGGCCCCGCTGGCCGGCCCAATCCTCATCTACAGAGCCAAAGCCTCCGAGCCCAGCGTGCTGCCCGTGCTTGCCGGTGAGCTCCCCGCGTCGCCCTCGAGCAGCGGGGGCAGCCTGGGGGGGACCCTACAGCTGCCCCAGAGCTGAGCCCCTGCTGCAGCAGGGAGGGGGCAG